GTGGAGTTTGGTGAGTTCTTTATAGATTTTGGATACTAGCCCTTTGTCCAATATGTCATTTGCAAATATCTTTTCCCATTCCATTGGTTGCCTTTTAGTTGATTGTTTCCTTTGCTGTGTAGAAGCTTTTTATCTTCATGAGGTCCAATAGTTCGTTTCTGCTTTTAATTCCCTTGCCTTTGGGGATGTTTCAAGTAAGAAATTGCTGTGGCTGAGGTCAGAGAGGTTTTTTTTCCTGCTTTCTCCTCTAGGGTTTTGATGGTTTCCTGTCTCACATTCAGGTCCTTCATCCATTTTGAGTTTATTTTGGTGAATGGTGTAAGAAAGTGGTCTAGTTTCATTCTTTTGCATGTGAGAAGAATGTGTGTGAAATGGTGCTTTCCATTTCTCCCAGCACCATTTGTTAAAGAGACTGTCTTTTTTCCATTGTATATTCTTTCCTGCTTTGTCAAAGATTAGTTGGCCATCCATTTGTGGGTCCAAATGGAATAGAGTCTCTATTCTATTCCATTGGTCTATGTGTCTGTTTTTGTGCCAATACCATGCTGTCTTGATGATGACAGCTTTGTAGTAGACGCTAGAGTCTGGGATTATGATGCCTCCCGCTTTGGTTGTCTTCTTCAAAATTACTTTGGCTATTTGGGGTCTTTTGTGGTTCCATACAAATTTTAGGATTGCTTGTTCTAGCTCCGAGAAGAATGCTGGTGCAATTTTGATTGGGATTGCATTGAATGTGTAGATTGCTTTGTGTAGTATTGACATTTTAACAATATTTATTCTTCCAATCCATGAACGTGGAATGTTTTTCCATTTCTTTGTATCTTCTTCAATTTCCTTCATAAGCTTTCTATAGTTTTCAGCATACAGATCTTTTACATCTGTGGTTAGGTTTATTCCTAGGTATTTTATGATTCTTGGTGCAATTCTGAATGAGATCCTTTTCTTTGTCTTTCTGTTGCTTCATTATTAGTACATAAGAGTGCAACTGATTTCTGTACATTGATTTTGTATCCTGTGACTTTGCTGAATTCATGTATCAGTTCTAGCAGACTTTTGGTGAATTCTGTCGGGTTTTCCATGTGTAATATCATGTCATCTGCCAAAACTGAAAGCTTGACTTCATCTTTGCCAATTTTGAAGCCTTTGATTTCCTTTTGTTGTCTTAGTGCTGATGCTAGGACTTCCAACACTATGTTAAACAACAGCAGTGAAGAGTGGACATCCCTGTCATGTTCTTGATCTCAGGGGGAAGCTCTCAGTTTTTCCCCATTGAGCATGATACTAGTTATGGGCTTTTCATAAATGGCTTTTATGATGTTTAAGTGTGTTCCTTCTATCCTGAACTTTCTTGGGGGGTTTTATTAAGAAAGGATGCTGAATTTTGTCAAATGCTTTTTCTGCATCGATTGACAGGATCATATGGTTCTTATCTTTTGTTTTATTAATGTGATGTATCACATTGATTGATTTGCGAATATTGAACCAGCCCTGCAGGCCAGGAATGAATCCCACTTGATCATGGTGAATAATTGTTTTTATATGCTGTTGAATACGATTTGCTAGTATCTTATTGAGAATT